TAGGCTTTGTTTTCTAGCACATTTTCTTCCAATTCTCATCTTTAAAATCTGCCATTTCAGGTGCTCGTTGGTCTTATGATGGCTTGCTTTTAATTATGGCTATAAATTATGGCTTTGACGTCTTTCGTGTGTCTCCTCACGTTACGTCATACTTGTAATTTCGGTCTACTCGTTTTCTTCTAGTTAGTAACCAGTCTCTCATCATCATCTTAGTCCGAGTCTTTTTCGCTCAGCTATCCAGTATTCAATCGTACAGCTTGCTGGTTCAACAGAGTGATCTGAATGTGAATTTTTTCACCTTTGGGGTCATTGGGCCTCCCCAGCATTCCGGCTAGGCGGGGTTATGGTTATTATACCTGTGCCAATAGACCCGCCTGATAAGCTGTCGGATTGCTTTTAAGATTTAATACAAAGATCGTTCCGCTGGCAACGAGGGGGCATGGGTCCCATCTCCTTGGAGTTATAATTTTTAGAGTTATGAGTATCAATGCCTTTCAAAGCCTACATATTTATACATATCTAGCTATTAGCCTATTAGCATATTCAGTGCAAGCCGTTTCATCTTTCTTACATTAGTCTGACTAGGATTAGACTCGGATTGATATGATGATGTCTGCATTCGTTTATTGCTTATTCCGCTGTATTACTAATTTCTCGATTTGTGTTTTGTGTTTTTTTCTTTTGTATTGGAACGCCTTGAGGTACAAATGAAAATGAAAATAAAAATGAAAATTTGGTTTGTGTACGCGCAGTGAGACTAAGGAACACAGTGTGTAAATGAAAAAATTAGGAAAAACTCAATTAAGAGCATGCTTGACTTTTTCAATTTAGGTGGTCAATGTCCCACCTATTGCCCGCCTGTGATAGGCAAAACTTTCATTTCACCTAAGTTTTTCAAAATTTTTACATGAATCTATTCAACACAAGTTTACAGTTGTGACAGTGGAATGTAAATATTCTCGGCGAATTCGGCAAAGTCGGCGAAAAACACAAAGTCGCCGAGTTCGCCGACATCGCCGAGAATTTCCACATTCCAAAGTCATAACTGTTTGACTGCATGTATGACGTAAATCTTCAAATTTCTGCTTAAATGGATCACTCAATGTGCTGTCAACAATTTTCACATTAGTCATTTCACATTGTTTTGCTGCTGGTGGCACATTTTAGGGATTAGAATCCCACAAAATACAAGATTTTCAAATCTGGGAGAAAATTCATGAGAACGGGAGTTTGTAACCTCATAATTTAACGAACAGTGCAGATAAAGGGCATATGCTAATCACGGCCTAATAGTGTTCTCTACAGAGATTTTAAATTACAAAAACGCGCAAGCAAGTTTTTTGATAGACGGGCGAGAAGTGCAACGAATCTTCAACCTTGCGTGGTTCAACTAAATTTTTTCCATTTGAAACTTCACTGTTACCTCTTAGCGCGAAATAACGGATTTTCATTAACAGTGGGTTTGAAAACTACAGTGAGTGGAGCTTTGGGTCAATTCAAGATTATCAATATTTTAGCCAAAACCAGTGGCGAGGTTAAGAGCGAAAATCAAGAAAAATCAAATGGCGCCATCTTCTTAGAAAAATTGAGCATAGAGGTTATCCAATCTGCTGATTGCAACAAACATATCTGCTGCCCATGATAGCTTAATTCTGTAGGTCTAACGGTGGCTAAATTTCAGGTAAATTTTGGTTGTAACAAAGTTTGCTAGCCATTTTCGCCTTCACTTCAAAAAATACTTTTCATGTTTAGCTGCCAAGAAACTCGCGGAGCTCTTGTGTCGAATGATGTTCATCTCAGCTCTCTATCTACATAAAGTAATGGGTTGCCCCCTAACAAAATCCCGTTCGCAGAACATAAGTGAAGACCTCAGATCAAAACTAAATGACTTTCCACCCATATATTGGGTATATAGTGACAACTCAATGTGCGGGCTTACAATTCACAGCTAAAAATCATAAAATCGAAATTCTAAACGTTGCGAAACCTCCAAAGTCGATGAAATCGACACTCTGAAGGTTGCGAAACCTCTAAAATCGATAGAATTGAAGAATTGGAGAACTCGAAGTTTTCGCGACCTCAAAAATCTCGATTTCAACTGCCAAGTTTTGAGATTCACAACCTCGATATTGAACCCCAAGGTTCTACCCACCTTCTAAAGCTTCGCCCACTTCCCAAGACTCCGCCCACTCAACTACAAGCCACGCCCATCCTTCCCTCAACAGCCACAGTTTACCCATTGTTAGCACTACCATCTCTCAACCACTGCCGCTAATCCACCAATCAAAGCCCCGCTCACTTCACTCAAAACACCTTCAAGTGAAGATCCACCCCTTCCCCTCTCGACCCGCCTACGTGCACTCCAACGCAAAAAAAGTGAGCGAAAAAATCGGAAAAGTGTAAAATAAGCTCATTTTCAGCGCTTTTATACAGCTACAACTCCTCCAAACAAGCTCCGCCCAGCACTACGATCAAACTCAAGAAAAGGAAAAATAAGAAGAAATTAAGCCAAAATTGCTTTTTTCTAACCCTATTTACCCCCTTTCTAGCCGTTTTCAGCCGCCTAACCAGGTCCAGATGGCCACCGGGTAACTGCCACAGCGTTCCAGTAATAAAGAGAGGGAAAAACTGAGGGAAGAGAAAGAGAAAAAATCGCGCGGCCAGACTTGAAAAAACGTCCTGGAATTTTTGTAGAGAGTTTTGTAGGCTCTCACAAACGGCTCCCCTGGATTTTCTACGAATTCTATGTCATGTACCCCTCGAATGCAAAATGAAACACGCTATCCTAGCTCATCATCCCTACTCTCTACGGAGATGAAATTCAGAATAAGCATCATCGCCTTTATATAGCGCTTCCTACGCTGGAGCTATGAACATGAGCTACTTCTAGAAAAATAGAGCTACCAAAAGTACATGTCAGTGGCCACATGAGATTACCACAAACCTACAACTTGCAGAGATATCAGGGCGCGAACTCGCCCTTATTGACAGATTTCTCAAGTTCGGCTGTCAATTAGGCACTTTTATTGGAAATTTGTTCTTCTTATGGCCTTCTTTCTAAAAACCATATTTTCAAAGATCTGTCCAATAAAACAGACCCCAGCCCCATATCTGTAATACTCCCAGAGTTATTAGCTCCCCAACATGCATGCTCAGACCGTAAGATCGGCTCCTCCAAAGTTGCTCCATAATTCCTCCAAAAATCACGTTAGGAACCTCTCTCGCACCTGAATATGCCATATTTTTGTAGCCTCCCACATGCAGTTTGAAATAAGCATCGCTCGCACAGTCGAGACTAATAAATTGGTAAAACAAAAATCTTCTCTCTGCTGCTAGCATATGACCGCAACAAACCTTGTGTAAAGTTTTCCATCCAAATCTTTATGCTGAAGTAATCTGTAAGCTTTTCTACCATTATGAAAATGCCATGCAGTTGTACTCAGGGAATTCGGCGATGTCGACGAATTGGCCAAAGTCGGCAAGTCGCCGAGTTTGTCGACATCGCCGAGAATTTTCAGATTCCAAAGTCATAACTGTAGATATCCGTACCTCTCAAAAAAAACAACTAAGCCGCAATCGAGCTTATAACAGACCGTGCACGACCGCCGACTGCATCATCTGACAAAGGAAGCTACCTAACTTAGCTCGGCCTTTTTGCAAGGGACATATATGGTCTGAATCAGTTTCAACGCTGATTTCATACATGCTATTCCTAGCTGCCATTACGAAGCGAGTTATGGGCTTTTTTCCTGCGCAAAATTGGCATGCTCACCGACTCACGGGCATCACGTCATCATTATTTGAGTGCTGATATATATATGCGTTAAGTTTTTTTTATTGAGAAAAGACTGGATTTTACTAATTCGACACCTCGGCACCTTTTTTTTTGCAGATTTTTCTCTACAGGCAGTCTTCTCTTGTTCAGTGGTAGGCCAATTTTGCGTAGGAAACAGCCCATAACTCGCTTCGGAATGGTGCACGACAGCTAGGAATAGCATATTTGGAATCAGCGTTTGAAGCTGATTTAGAATATGTATCCCTTTTACCAAAAGGCTGAGCTAAGTTAGGTAGCCTTCCTTATGAGCTCTGGAACCACGCGACTGCATGGAATTAGGAGCGGTATTTTTCATAACCTGTCAAAAATGCGGTGACCAACACATAAAAGACTGGCAGACGGTTGTGCACAAGAAACAAAGGACATCTTGACGCCATAAAAAATCCAAAATACACCACAGTCCCACCTCTGGGTGCACATCGAAGGTTAGTCATGGGAACCAGTACTTTCAGGTCACTGCTACGACTTTGTCGCACTAATCCGAGTTAATAGCCCACAAAACGGGTATATGTCAAGAATAAGATAGCTGGCAATAGTGGCACCCTGAATGCGCGGGTGTCAGGAAACGGCGCACAGGTAGCACCGCCCAGCAGCGAACGAGCTCACACAAAGCCTACATTTTGGAGCAGTAAATGCCCAAAGCTTTATTATTCTTTAAATATGCTTTATGTTGAGGCTTCTGCTATTCTTTAATGATGGAAACAGTTAGCAATCACATCGCCATAGACACGCGATAGGAATGTCTTGGGCTCAATTTAGCATGTGAAATATGTAAGCTTCTTTGATAGTTGTAGGAAACGAACTCCAAATGAAAAAACTGAAGTTTAGATCATTTTCCTCCATTTCATGAATGAATGAGAGAAAGCTGTTAAGCGCGCGAGCAGTTGTCAGCTAACGGCTGGAAAAGCTATCGTTTTTCTCAACCGCTACCTCCGCAAAACGTTGGAAGCCTTTTGGATAGCGTCTAAATTACCAAAAATGAACCGCAAAGATGAAAGCATTGCCATAAACAGCGAACTGTTCTCCTATCAAACACAATGTGGATTCTAATACAAGATCTTCTATAACTATAAAAAGCAATGTTGGCAATGTCTGACTCACTCATAGCGCGGTTGCAGCGCAGTACTGGTTGTTCTCTATATCCCGGTCTGACAAGGCTGAAGTTAGGCTTTCAACATTTATTCTGTCACTCCATCATTAAGCTAAACAGAATCTATTGCCAAACAAAGCGTTTGAGCGGGCAGTTTTCAAAGTCTCAATTTTTTAGGAAGCCCTGAAGAAGCGGACGAGCTGCCGAAACGTTGGCTTATCGCGTAACAAACTTTTGCTAGACCTTTTAAAAATTGTGTTACAACTGAATCACAATGCCAAGGTTTATCGACAGTCGAGCACAAAATATCAATTTCCTTTGATTGCTTCAATTCCATTTTTGATTTCCCTCACATTGTCAACTCCATCTTTGATTTTCCTCACATTGTCAAGGACTTTCGGAATCTTCTTCCCAATCTTATTGATTCCGTTTTTTATCCCTTTTCTTATTTTCTTGAGCTTTTTCTTGAGTTTCTTTCCAAATCCGCATTCACCAACGTCCACAGCAGAGAGAATCTGTAAGCATTAAAGTAATGTGCAGTCAGCAAGTCTAAGGAGTAAAATCGCAAATTAAGTCATGTCTTGCTTGGCCAACATACCACAAAGATGGTAAGTAACAAGAAGGTGAGGTTGAGAATTCTCATTCTTGTCGAATTGACTAAAGTTTCTGAAAAAAATATTCCAAGAAGTAAACGGTACATTGAGCGTTTGATAAAACGGCGAACAAACGAAACTTTTTTGACATAACTTGACAGAGAAACAAATGGGGGTGGGGGACTATATGTCAACGGAAATGGAAAGTTCCGCCGGACATCTGCGACATATACACTTTTTACTACATGCACAGGCTGAGTATCTGCTGCATCGTCCTCCAACCCTCCCACTTTCGTCGACATATAGTCCTCTACCCAAACAAATAATCTTCTGAATGCAAGGAAAATTACGAGATTGCAATGATCTTGAATTCTCTGCTATGTAATTCCTGGGCATTTGTAAGTGACAATGTCGCAGACTATGTCAAAAATAAAATTTATAATGTTGTGCACAATAATATACACAAATCTGTCATCCACTATATCGCTCGTTTAGCTGTAAATTCATCAAATTTTTTCTATGAAAAAATATCGGTAATTGCCTCTTCAGAGAAGAAGCAAACAAAGCTTGCGTTTGATCATGCTCTAGACAAAAGTTCTCCGTTGCTAATACTTTCCCTTGACTCTGCAAAGCTAAAGACCATTCATAATTGGTGGTTTTGAGCCACACCAGACCTTACAAGGGAATGGTCAGAAGTCGAAGTGGCCAAACCAAACAAGCTGTATGCCATTTGATGCACTATAAAACGCTGACTTCGGATCTGTCTTTCTTATCTGCTTCCCGCTTCTGTGGACCAAGCTACAAGCAGTTTTATTGCGAAAATATCATACATAAAAACAGCGAAATTGAGCGCATTGCTGCACTTTTAGCTCAGCTTCAGGCTTTAGAAATTTGAAGTAGCTCAGCTGCATGTTTTGGCCCAGCATTAAGGTAACGTGGCTTTGTACGGCTAAACACTTTCACGCATAACTTCTAAGCAAAATAATGGCCTTCAGTGGCTTATAGCTTCGCCCATAAAAGCGATAAGCAAGTAAGGAAAACAGATTTAGAGTCAGTGCTTCACGCTGCATCTAACGCTATGCAGCTTGTTTGGATTTGCCACTTCGATTTCTGACCATTCCCCTTGTTAGCAACTGGCTGATTTTGCATGGACAGGCTTATGCTCAAAAGGAGAAATTGAACGAAATAAAAAAGAGGATGCTCAGGAAGTTATTGAAGGTTGAGGAGTTTCTAATATTGTCAAAATCTTTTCAATCGAGATTACTCTACCAAGAGAGCCGCTTGGAAACAGCATACAAAAGTCTTGCCTTGGTCCAAACCTACCTTCCTTCTGCGATGCCGGAACATGGAAAAATTCTAAGCGTTTAAAGGTTCAATTTTGGCAAACATTTAGCTTTAGCCACATGCTCAAGAACTAGTTGTTTAAACCTACTGTGTCTCCGGTGAATATGAGCATCCTCTGAAACCAGCACACTAAATATCTAGCTAGTCATGCACTTCCAAGTTGGGTCGCTAATCGCGTGATTCACCAAACTTTAGAATGTCCGATCTGGCAAGTTTGACCATGTCGGGCAGCAGAGCCCGATTTCGACAGGTCGGGCTCCGCTGCCGGGCTGCTGTGCCCGACATGGCCTGTTAAATGTACAAGCATTCACTTCCTATATAGCGGATTGATAAATACGCCCCTAGTATCGTTGGCGACCCCCGCTGTACGTTTGAATGGAGCGTTTGCAAACATCCGAACGCGTTGGTGACTAATCAAAACTCTACTACAAAACATAGTTCTTTGTAATCTCTCACTTGCACCAGAGGGTGAATAAGTTCACTAACAGCTTCAGATGTCTGCAAATGTTCCGTCCAACGTAACCGCGAAGGAGACGATAGCAAGATTGATTGAAGTATGCTGTGAAAGTGCGAAAGTGAATAAAAAACCCTTCAAATGATTCAGTATTTAGAAGCATTTGACATCACTCAACTAAATGACTTCTTTTGTATTGCAGTCTAGAATCTATACCATTGAATTTGTTCCAAACGTATAGTACCTACGTCTGCCTTTTTCTAAATTCCCGAAAAATATCGTGATTTTAGAGACCATTGGAGTGAGATGCACATGCCAAAGGTAGTATGATATCCTAATCACACTTCGATATTAGTATAAAAACCCTTTCGCGAAAACATTAGTTTTCGGCCCTGAAATGTGTTAGCACCGCTTTGAGAAATTTATAGCTTTTTACATTCCGAAGGGTTTGCTTTCTCGAAATTTCGAACTTGTCTCATGCACTTTACAAAAGCATTTGGGGCACTTTCTAACTCGCAAACACAGCAGTGACAAAAGTTTACGAATAGAATCTGTAAGGGGTTGCCAGGGATGTGAACCAGGGCCTGGACAAAGGTGGCAAGTAGTCCTCGTGAAGCGATTCACCTTTGCCGCTTTGATTTCACGATTTTCCCCTAATCGCACCAACTGCGCAGGTTATTTGATTAAAGCGTGTTTTTCTTGAAAGTCGAGACTCGTTTGTTCCTCCAGCAAAGAGGAGAAGATAAGTTGAAGGAAAAGTTGCTTTCACAATAGTTAACTCTGAAATTTATTATCTCTTCAAATAAAGGCTGGGCTAGGATACCAGAAAGGAAAAAGTCAACATTTCGGTTTACCTATCACACAGTACTTTTGTCGGCATTGTAAGCGGTTGCAAGATAGGGTAATATTATGTTGACTGTAATGGATTCTGCTGAGAGCTTACCCCCGGGGCCTCAATAGGAATATTTGGGAAGGCAAGCTCTACAACATTTGAAACGAGAAATCAAGAGCGTATGACCGACACGGACACAACTTCTTTTCGTACACCTATATAGCCCTATATCAGTCACGTGCGAGTACTTCTTTCAATCGCTTGTATGTAATCAGCTTTGAAGATTTAGATAAAGCAAATCTCTTGACAGATTGTAACAAAAAATTTTGTTAGTCCTTAAACCAGCCCGCAACTCGTGACTAAGTGTCGATGAACGATGCTTTCGGAGCTTTCGGATGATTCCGCCAATTGACGTGGAGGAAGTCTTCGTTTAATCACACAACAATCATTAAATTACCCCAATGCATTGCCAACAATTGAATTTTGCAATGTTCAAAATCGGATGGTATTTTTATAAATATGGTGCTCAAGATTATTTTTTACCAAAAAGCTAAATATCAAAAAATCGTCAGTGTCAAAATGTCAAAAAAATTTCTCAAATGAAATATCGCTGCAAATATTTACTTTGCTCAAGTCTTGATGAATGAACGCTCAAAATTCATTCCTCTCCAGAATTGGCTTTTTGATAACATGCTGTGAATTTATGTCTAAATATGTAAATGCAACCCCATATAATCATCATGTATGATGCTTGTTTGCACATCAAAGACGGAAAAAATTTAGCTTCTTGCTCACAAAAGCGAGTACTAGCTTTCTTTTTTACTCATAGTTTTCATTTCTTCAAGGCCACTAGATCACATCATGCGTTTCTGTATGCTTCATGATTCAGAACTCCATTCTGCTCATCTTCATCTAAGTATAATTCGGTTATGGCAAACGTTTCGTAAAGGCCTTTTTTCTTCAGCCAGGTCTTTAGCCGATTATGATTTCTGAACTGAATCTGTGATTTGATGACAAAACTTTTATCCAGAGCAAAGTGTTTTTTAGTAATGCAAGAAAATAATTATTAGATCATGTGTTTAGTGTCATTGAGAATCATTTACAGCAAGCTCCTTAACAATTGCTGATAGATTGCATTGAAAATTTGCTTCGTCATCTTATTGTTAGTCGTTTTTGCTTCTCTTCAGTATGGGACAAAATATTGAGTGCTTAAACACATTGACTGATTGTTTTTTAAAAGTCAAACAAGGCAAGGCATGAACAAGGCAGCTTCGCTTCATGCAGAGTCCATGTAAATACCTTGAGAGCTTGCAGATTGGAGTGAAAAAGGTTTTGTATGTAATGCAAGAACTCTGGCACTTGAGTCATCATGAAAGCGACCTCTCCTTCAACTTCTCTTCTCCTCATTGGTAAATGAACAAACGAATCCCGGCATTTGAAAAAAACGCGTTTCAATCAAACCTGCGCAGTTGGTGCGATCAAAGGAAAGCAGTGAAATCGAAGAGGCAAAGGCGTAATCGCTTCATAGATGACTATTACCCATTCTCGCCCGAGTCCTGATTCACGTTTTTGGGCAACGTTATAGATTCTGTTCGTAAACTTTTATCAATGCTGTTTGAAAGAACCTGTCAGAAAGTACCTCAAATGCTTTTGTAGTGCTCATGATCATCTCTTTCAGACGGGTTCAAAGTTTCGGGAAAGCAAATGGTTCGGAATGTAAGAAGCTATAAATTTGAGAAAATGGCGCTAACAGTTTGGGCCAACTTAACATTTTTACGGAAGCGTTTTTATGCGAATATCGGGATTATTGAGATTAGGATACTATACTACGCCTGGCATGTACATCTAACTTCAGAAGGTCTCTGCAAGTCGCTGCAACTCGCAGTCTTTTTCGTGAACTGAAAAACGGCAGACGTAAATATTATACGTGTGGAACATATTCAATGGTAAAGGTTTGACCAAAGATATCCGTAAAGTTCATACGTGAGTGACTCCGTGCTGGCCAAGAGATAGAGCAATAGGATTTTGAAAAGAAAGAAGTTCAGTTAACTCTCTCGAATTTATAATATAAATGCACCTCTTTAAAAGGCTGTATTAAGATACCAGAAAAGGAAAGGTCAACATTTCTGTTTTACCTATCACATAATACCTTTCCTCAGCATTGTATAAGCGGTTGCAAAATGGGGCGCTATGTTATGTTGACTGCAATGACTTCTGCTGAGGGCTTACCCACGTGGCTTAATAAGAATATTTGTGGAATGCAAGCCCTACAACATGTGCGAGAAATCGAGGGCTTATGACCAACACGGACAAATTCCTTTTTCTCACTTATAAATATAGTCCTGTATCAGTCATATGCGAGTGCTTCTTTTAATCGCTTATTGTAAACAGCTTTGAAGATTTAGATAAAGAAAATCTCTTGACAGTTACTGTAAGGAAATTCTTCTGTCAATCCTTGAACTAAGCCCGGAACTCGTGACTAATGTGTAAAGAGAATCTCTTGACAGTCGCTGTAAGAAAATTCTTGTGCTAATCCTTGAACAAAGCCCGCAGCTCGTGACTAATGTGTAAAGAAAATATCTTGTCAGTTACTATAAGGAAAATCTTGTGTTAGTTCATGGACTAAGCCCGGAACTTGTGATTAATGTGTAAAGAAAATCTCTTGACAGTTACTGTAAGGAAATTCTTCTGTCAATCCTTGAACTAAGCCCGGAACTCGTGACTAATGTGTAAAGAAAATCTCTTGACAGTCGCTGTAAGAAAATTCTTGTGCTAATCCTTGAACAAAGCCCGCAGCTCGTGACTAATGTGTAAAGAAAATATCTTGACAGTTACTATAAGGAAAATCTTGTGTTAGTTCATGGACTAAGCCCGGAACTTGTGATTAATGTGTAAAGAAAATCTCTTGACATTTACTGTAAGGAAAATCTTGTGTTAATCCTTGAACGAAGCCCGGAACTCGTGATTAATGTGTAAAGAAAATCTCTTGACATTTACTGTAAGGAAAATCTTATTTTAATCCTTGAACAAAGCCCGCAGCTCGTGACTAATGTCTAAAAAAAGTCTCTTGACAGTTACTGTAAGGAAATTGTGTTAGTCTATGAACTAAGCCCGCAATTCGTGACTTAAGTTTGTTTGTTGCTTGTGACCAGGTGTGTAAAACAATTTTACGATGCTTTCGGAGCTTTCAGATGATTTAGCCAATCTATGGAGGAAGTCTTTGTTTGATCATACAACAATCTTTAACTTAGCCCAGTCGCATTGCCGTTAATTGGATTTTGCAATGCTCGAAATCGAATGGTATTTTTTTTATGAAGATGGTGCTCAAGATCATTATTTTTACCGAAAACTCAGAGTCAATCGTGTTTTCCAGATAAAGTATCGCAGATGCAAATACTTACTTCGCTCAAGGCTTGATGAACGAATGCCCAAAATTCATTCCTCCACACTTTTTTGATAGCATGAGTGTGAATTTGTGTCTAAACATGTAAATACAAGCCCACGCTATAAACATCGTATATGATGCTTGTTTTGAACTCACATCAAAGATGGTAAAAAATTTGGTTTTTTGCTCTACAAAAGCGAGTACTAGCTTTCTTTTGTACTCATAGTTTTCATTTCTAAAAGGCCATTAAATCACATCATGCGTTTCTGTATGCTTCATGATTCAAAACTGCATTCTGCTCTTCTTCATCTAAATATCATATTCTGTTATGGCAAACGTTTTTTCTTTCTTCAGCCAGACCTTTAGCCGATTATAATTTCTCAAGTAAATCCTAGATTTGATCACAATACTTTAATCCAAAAGAGTCAAGTGATGTTTTTCAGTGATGCAAAGTCACTTATCAGATCATCTGTTTAGTGTCATTGAGAATCATTTACAGCGAGCTCCTTAGCGATTGCTGATAGATTGCATCGAAAATTTGCTTCGTCATCTTAGTCATTTTTGCTTCTCTACAGTATAGGACAAAATATTGTGTGCTTAAACACATTGATTGATTGTACTTTAATAGTTAAACAAGGCAAGGCATGAACAAGGCAGCTTCGCTTCATGCAGAGTCCATGTACCTACTTTGAGAGCTTGCAGATTGGAATATAAAAATTTTGTATGTAATGCAAGAATTCTGGCACTTGAGTCATCATGGAAGCGACTTCTAACTTCTCTTCTCCTCTTTGCTACATGAACAAACGAGTCTCGGCCTTTGAGAAAAACGCGCTTTAATCAAATAGCCTGCGCAGTTGGTGATCAGGGGAAAATAGTGAAATCAAAGCGGCAAAGGCCGCTTCACAGATAACTATCAGCCATTCTCGTCCGAGCCCTGGTTCACGTTTTTGGCAACCCTACAGATTCTATTCGTAAACTTCTATCACTGCTTGTTTGAAAGGACCTAGTTAGAAAGTACCTCAAATGCTTTTGTAAAGCGCATGATTATCTCTTTCAGATAGGTTCAAACTTTCGGAAAAGCAAATAGTTCGGAATGTAAGAAGCTATAAGTTCGAAAAAATGGCGCTAACAACTGGGCCAACTTAATATTTTCACAGAAGCGTTCTTATGCTAATGTCGGATTTGAGATTAGGATAACATACCACGCTTGGCATGTACATCTAACTTCAAATGGTCTTTGCAAGTCTATGGAACTCACAGTATTTTTTCGTGAATTGAAAAACAGCAGACGTAGGTATCATACGTGTGGAACATATTTAGTGTATAGGTATAACCAAAGCTAATCCGCCTCTTGAAAATATTCGGCTACTGCAATACAGAAGGAGTCATTTACTTGAAAGATGTCAAATGCGCTTTCATGAATATTGAATGATTTGAAGGGTTTTCTTATGCACTTTCGCACTCTCACAGCAAACCTCAATCAGCCTTGCTATCGTCTCCTCGCCGGTTACGTTGAGCGGAGCATTTGCAAACATCTGAAGTGAACTTATTCACCCTCTGGTGCAAGTTGTTCTTTGTAATCTTTCGCCACCAACTCTGCCACGTATGACAACAGATATATACGTGGCAATTTAAAGAGTACAAAGAACTATGCTTTGTAGTAGAGTAAAATTAACAAGCGGGAACTTTTGGGTAGCCACTTGATCAAACGCAAGCTTTGTTTGCTTCTCCTTTG